CCCTCGGAAAGTGGGGGTTGAAATGTTTTTTTTTTTTTTTTTTTTTCTTTTCTGAGCAATTTGAAGTATTAGTTATCCCAAATAGATAGAGAGCACGCTGGTGTTTGCCTTGTTAACCGGTGAGAATTTTACAGCTGTGTAAGGGGCTTATATGGCCCTCTTTATGTTCATTTAATTTGCACATGTGTGGCACCGGTACTCCACCAGGAGCAGCGCCCTGCCTATGTTGGAGAGAGAACAGAGTGGTCCTTGTGGTGGGAGATCTTTTCACTTAGCGCTGCCCAAAACAGAGACTGAAGCATAGCATGCCATGCTTTACAGCCTAGTGCAAAAGATACTGTGGGTGCAGCACTAGAAACACACTGTTCCACTTTCTTAGCAAATTATGTGAACAAGGCAACATACTCAGCCTTTCTATAAATGTATATGTTCAGTTGCTTTTTGTCAGCATTTTGTGGTGTACTTAACATGAATAAAAATGTTCTACCTAAGCAGAATATGAAAAACCATTACGTTTTGCTAAAACAGAAACTAAATATAACCTACTTTCACCAAAGAGTATTTTCTCCTATGTCTGATCTAATTATTTTATGTGAGCAAACTCAGTGTAGGTTAGCAGGAAAATGCTGCTCTCTAGTAGATGAACGCATTTTATTGAAGAAAACAGCAGTGTGAAAAGACTTTATTTCTCTATAAATTTTAATAGTTACTAAAATGAGGACTTCGGCCCATTAAGTTATAGCCTGCCAAGTCATAATGCTGAATCACTTAATTTCTCTAAGTAGCTATCCTATTCCAGCTTCTTAAAGGCAGCTGTTAGGAGAGCACCGATGTTTTAATCAAGGAACAGGGCAGAGTCTGACAGCTAAACAGTGTGCTTCGATGGAGGCTTTCTTCCACGGTCTGCAAATATCAGGACCTCTCTTGGAGTATGTAGACTTGCACACTCAGGGACCAAGGTGTGGGTGGGTACAGGATTATGTGTAGGAATCTGATGTCAGTGGAAACCATGAGGACATTGTTACATCCTGGTATTTCTCACTGAAGATAGATCCTTACAAGTGTTTATAGGCTGAAAAGCTATTGCAAACAATAGTGGAAACTCAGTATGAATAATAATATTGTCCCTCACACACTGAAAATAGTAGGCATTAAGTCCATAGGAAGATCTAGACCATTGCTCATTGACTGTGTACGTGACATATCTTTATTACTTAGCATAAGAGATAAATTTAGATCTGTCAGCACCAGTACCAGAGATCCCACAAGTCAGAGTTCTTTATGTGTCAGGTGCGTTACATGTTGGAGGGAAAAGAAGCTAGTACTGCAGGGGTATTGATTGACTGGCTCCATGCAAGGAAAGGGGTAGGACAGTTAAAAGTGAGAATGTTTAGAATTGTTCTGTAGTAATTGACTCTTGAGGCAAAATAATGTTAGCCCTAGTACACTGGCCAAATTTCAGTTTGGGAAATGAGATTCTTCCTGCTGTCAATAGGTGAGTTGTCTCCATTTTTCTGCTAATGTCAGGTGAGATACCGCAGCAAGATCTTTTCATGTTGGTATCAGGTCTGATCCACCTTTGAAGCAATGAAACCATTAGGCAGTGTGCATTGCCCCAATGCCCAATGTGGTGTTCATCCTTTATGTGCTAGTAATAATTAGCTACTTTATCATTCTAGTAGGGAGCTTTAATTTATTACTTTATTAAGCAGTGAAATCAAAGATTAAAATGGTATCTATAGCACATAGCTAACTAGATTGTGAAAAATGAAACTATATGGTTTCAAATTTATGAAAATAAATATTTCTATTCAAATAAGCGCAGTAGTTTCTAGTTTACTTTAATTCTTTAGACACCACTCTAATTTGTAGTTTACTGGTGATTATTTTTCTTCGTTTTAAAGTAAATTGCTTTCTGTAGGGTGAAGTTGAGAAATAATGAATTGAATTCACATTACAAGCTACTGCCTCCCAATTTGTAAATGAATATAAATGTAATAGCAGCATAGCATTAAAATCTTTTGCAAAAGACTACGTTATATTGTTGCAGTAAACAAATACACTTTTCAAGCCATCAGTTCATTTAATGTTGCATTTCTACTTGGCCTTTATTTTAAGGGCTTCTGTGCCTACTGCCAGTATTGTCTCCAAATGTCTTAACATGTGCTGTCTCTTCAGAGCAAAAAACAACATTTTTAATTTGTGTCATTTACAATAATAGTTGATTAACAATCTGCTTTAAAGCTAAATCAGTGAACATGTTTTAAGATGTATTTGCTCAGGATAGGAAATCCTTGTCTACCTATTTTACGCTTTCAGGGAGAGAGAGACACACACAGGCAAGCAGGCAGTCAAATGGGAAAGGCACAGGCTGTGTTCAGCACTAGCTTTGTTCTAAAATTTTTATTTCCACTCAGTGTACTTAGAGGGTAATTAACAACTACCAATCAAAAAGATGGAATATTTTTGCAAATCCCACCACTCATTAATCTGAGCTGCTGTTGACAAGAATTGGAAATTTTAGAGAAGTGGAAACGAGGACCTGAGTGTCCCAGCAGGGAGAAATGTTCTCTCATGTGACTTGGGCAACAACCACAGTTTAACTTCTGTGGTTAAGTGTTCTTAATCCTTACCGGAAGTTTGTGGTGTAATAAGTTAAGGAAAAGAAGAAATTCGGTAATAGCGATGAAACAGAAGTTGCACAATGTAAATGCTAATTTCTTGGTTTGCGTTCCTGGTAGCAGCTATAAAATAAATCTAGGGAGGCATGCACTGAAAACTCCAAAATCAAATTGCTGTGTTGTATAGTTTTATGCAGAGGAACAGCTGTCCATAGTGCGTGGAGGAAGAACCCCAAAACCAGTGTTTCTGGATGAATGGGAGGGTCTAAAATCTGGCAGTAAGGACTTCTTTGGTTGTTATTCCTCCCACCTCCTTATATAAGGAGGACAGAGAGATAGAAACAGTCAGCAGGGTTTCAACTGAGAATTACTTTCGTCTTCATTCCTGTCAGCTCCAATTCCGCAAAATGCCTGAACACATCCTTACTTATGTACATTCAACCGTTGACTTCAGTGTGAGATAAAGTTTAGCGCATGCTTAAATGCTTTCTTGAACTAGGGCCAAAAGTTGCTGCTGCTGCTAAAATCAATCCCAGAGGGAACTTTGCATCTTTTATTACTTCCTTTTTTGTATACCAAGACACAGGTTCCACCAGGCTCTGGAAGTATGGCAGGAGTTGATAAATGTTGCCTGCCTTGTTTAAAGGAGTGGAGCAGAATTGTTGGATGACAGTGCATAACGTACATACTATCTTCCTTTCTGTCCTGTCCCATATGCATGCTCTTTAAGGATCATTACTAAGTGAGGGCTGCAGAATGGCAAGAGACTCCCTGAGCCACTGCGTTGTGTTTCCATCTACTGCAGGCACTGCCTGTAATTGTAAAAGGCGCCAAAATAAAATGAGTTTAGGTGTTTTCCTCTGTTCTTTCCTGCTGCGAGACTGTTCAGAAGCCTGCTTCTTTCTTCGCTGGAAATCTTCATTCAAATGTTTGCTGAAGTGTGACTTAACCTTGAACCACTTTGTTCTTCTTGATTTACACAGGCAAACATACACACATACACACCCGCCCCCCTCTTCTGGGAGTATTGATTTAACCCTGCATATTTGTAGAGGAAACAAGCCAAAACCAGGCCAATGCACAGTATTCATAAAATGGTCCAAAGTAGCTCTGCATTCGTTCCATTGACACTGCAGATAACAGCTATGATCCTGTCGGATGAACAGTCGGCTGATCGCCTTTATCTGTGTCTCTCGCAATGCATTATGCACTTTTAATACAAGACCCTTGTGGGGTAGCTATCACTGGTTGAAACCCAAAGAGCTGTCTGTGAGAACAACTCCAAATCATATTATCAGGTTAAGTTGTATTGAGGGATAGTGACAAATGAACCACTGTTTTGAATGAGCATCTGATGATGTTTTCTCCATCTCTTTTCTGACTGCAGAGCTCTTCTGTATCTCCCTCAGCCAGTTTCAGAACAGCAGAAAAGCACAGAAATTCAACAGATTATTCTTCAGATAGTAAAAAACAGAAAACAGAAGAGAAGGAAATAGCAGCTCGTTATGTGAGTAAATTTTCTACATTGTTGAACTTAAGTGTTCCTCTGTAATTTCACCTGATTCCTGACGCATAGCTAATTTTAACATTGATGGTCAAATTTTTAACAGGTTCTTACTGCCTGCCTCTAACATCTATGCTAGGTCGAAGGTTTTGGTGTGTAGGATTGATAGTGTTTTTAACAATATAAATACAGAGCACCTGGAAGGCATGTGACAAGAGGACTGAGTATTAGGCTGGGACTTGGTAGATCTGGACTCTAGCTTGGCTCCACTTCTCAGTGCAGTGCAACTTTGGATGAGGATTTTCATCCTGTGTCCTAGTTCACCAATGTGAAAACAGGGAATAATGCTATAGCTGTGGCAACCTGTTAAGGAGGAGCCTTATAGGTGACCTAAATATTGTAATTTTATTACCACATAAAGCTTGGTAAAAGTAATTGCTATGTTGCATAGTTGTGAGCAGCCTTGCATTTCATTGGTTTATTTTTTCTCAGTATTTAAGAGACGTTGGGATATTAAATGTTTTTAACACATTGTGATTTGTCATTGCAGGACAGCGATGGTGAAAAGAGTGACGACAACTTGGTCGTCGATGTTTCCAATGAGGTAAACACAATGGTGGTTTTTGTACCTCACAAAAACACCTCACAGTGGTGGGGGAGGGGGCGTGTCTTCAGTGGTTTCTGTGCATATTGGGTATATGAATAAGATTACAGCCTTTGCCTTCATAAAGGAGCTTGAAATGCCTGAGGGAATCCAGTCAGGTCGTCTTTCTTTAGAATGCAAATCAGATCTGTAACACTTATTTCTACAAAGGACCTTTTTGTTTCTTGTATGAACCAAAAGTCTGCTTGAGATACTTGAAGCCAGCCCAGCACAGCAGATAGGATGCAGCTTCTAACAGTGTCTGTGTTTTCTTTCACTCTGGCCATGACTTAATTTGTGAACTTTATCAGGTCTGCCAAGTGCCTCAAACCTTTTCGGTCTGTCACCCGACAAATGAGATTTACTTGCCTATTTCAATATCCGTAGATTTTTAACATTATTTTTCATGGTTAATGGCATCAAATTTTAAGACTTACTTTAAAAAAAAAAAAAAGTTGTCTTTCATTATCGATCTCGATTTTACAATTTTATCAGCTAAATCAATTAAGGACTGAAGGAAGATGTCACTTTTTATGACAGATCTTCATTCCAAAGTGAGAGTTGCTCAAGACAAGCACTAGTGGCTAGTGTGAAATTTTTATACTAACCCATGTTACTGATGTTTAGGATCCTTCATCTCCCCGGGGGAGCCCCGCACACTCTCCACGGGAGAATGGCTTGGATAAGACTCGACTGCTGAAGAAAGATGCACCAATTAGTCCGGCGTCTATTGCATCGTCCAGCAGCACTCCTTCCTCCAAATCCAAAGAACTTAGCCTTGTAAGTGCTTCAGAATGCTCCTGACCCGTGATCATATGCTGAAACACATGCTTACCGGATTTCTGTCTGGATACAATTTGGATTTCCACAGCTATCAGTAAAGCACTATGAAGCATCAATTTAAAATTTGTTTCAGTTATCTCTTCAAGGGAATTTAATAAAATAATGAGAAAGTCCACAGCCTTTTTTTGGGATAGGAAGAGGTATTTTCACTGGTGGTGTGGGTAGATGATAGAGATGTTTTTCTCCTTCCCCATATGAAAAACTGTCATTCTGAGAATAAATAAGAGTACACAGGGGTTCCTTGAGCTGTTTTCCTGTACTGTGGTTTATAGCAAATTCAGTTCCCTGCTTGGATGTGATTTGGTTGTTAGCTTTGTTTGAATTACTGGGCCATATACAACAACAAGAATTTTTATTTTCTATCTAAAAAGTAATCTGTCATTTACAAGAGCCTTCCTTGACTTGTATTGCAAATCACAATGCAAAAAAAAAGAGCTGCCTGCAAGTCAGGGGTGTTCTTTCCATTCCTGTTTGTGACCACAGTTAATCACCTTCCTGAGCTGCATGGTAACTCCCCTCTCAGTTCTTCACAGGTCAGAGTATGCAATTATTTAAAAAAATAAATAAAAAGAAAGCTTAAAGTGAATGTAGTGCTTAGGAAGGGTGATGGAATGACAGGTTCAGGCCTGGGAGTCAGTGATTTGTCTGATGAACAAGCTTGTCACAAGAGCAGCACTGCACAGTTCCTGACTTCATACCCATCGCTGTCTCCATCCTGTGCTTCCAGCACCTCATTTGGGCATGAGTTGTTGGTCAGTTGTGAGGTTTTTTTCTGCTCTTCTTGTCCAGCCAGCAGTGGCCTCTCACAGAAACTCGTAATAGTGATGGGAGCAGGTCCACCATGAGCAGATTTCACATATGCTGCCAATGTAGTTGTCAGATGGCGATGATTTTCAGTCATGGACCTCATTCTGAATCATACGGATGCCCCCAACGAGGAAAGCTGTGAAGGCTGTAGTTAATTCCCAAAGCCATTCCATCTTTTTCAGTGTCTCTGTTTCAGCTTCTCTTCATTGCCAGGGACTGTTGAAACCCAAACCTAAAAGCTAAATATCGCTAATCACACACACTCTGGTTGTCATTGGCTCTCTTTCCAACCACTAGCTAAAAAAGTAAAATAACTAACAAACTGTCTTCCTTTCTCCTTTTTGGTGATTAGAATGAGAAATCTACCACTCCTGTGTCTAAATCAAATACCCCAACTCCACGGACTGATGCCCCAACTCCAGGCAGCAACTCCACTCCCGGACTGAGACCAGTGCCTGGCAAACCCCCAGGTGTGGACCCGCTAGGTTAGTGTCTGTATATTTCGATGGTATGAAACGGTGGCCATTCATCCCTAACCAGGCTCCCTTTAAATCTACAGTGACAAGGCAGTATATTACAGCTGCTTAAACTGGATGCTGAGCTGGTTCTTCAGCACTTTAATACAGCTTGTATATAATTTTTTTTTTTTTTTTACTTGTTTGCCAAACTCACATTTCATCTGGTGGGTCTGGACTGGCTGTGTGACTTCTCTCTTTTTTTCCCCTCAATAGCTTCAGGTTTAAGGACACCTATGGCAGTGCCGTGTCCTTATCCTACTCCGTTTGGGATTGTGCCACATGCTGGTATGAACGGGGAGCTGACCAGCCCTGGAGCTGCCTACGCTGGTCTACACAATATTTCCCCTCAAATGAGTGCAGCAGCTGCAGCAGCAGCAGCAGCAGCAGCTTACGGGAGATCTCCAGTGGTAAGTGTTTGCCACTAGTGCATTTGGTGTTGGAGAGCAGTTTATATTAAATGTAAGACCTCCAGGGTTAAATCTAATTCAGTCTCTTTGTAATTTAGGGAGTATGCTATGGACAACATGAATTAAACAGTCTTCCTTTGCTTAACTCCATCTTTAATACACCTTTTTGTTTTGCTTGGGGAAAACTATAGGTTGGTTTTGATCCACATCATCACATGCGAGTCCCAGGCATCCCTCCCAATCTCACAGGCATCCCAGGAGGAAAACCGTGAGTATCAAACATTCAACTTTAAAAGTCAATTATCTATTGAAGTTGTGTTCCCTTGCTGGTTGGAATTTCCCTTAGCTACTGAAAACTATTGTGTGAATAGGAATAAATATAACTATTTGGCAAGGGCAGGAGAAACACTGTTTAATCTTAAAGTTGCATTTGTAAATTTGTTTTGAAGACTAATAGCAGCTGACAAGGACTGGGTGGTATAGAGTAAAGGAGACAGAAATAAATGGAAAAAGGAGCTGAACTTCGAGGTGTTATATGTTGAATCTGACTGGCTGGTCTTATGTGGAAATGCAAACTGGAATAGGATCTCGGCTTTCCATCTCTACTGTACTCTGCTTCTCAGTTTAAAAAAATGATTTCTTGTTCACAAAAGCCTTGCAATTACTTGCAAACTTATCAGCTGCTATAAACAGCAGTGTGCAGAGAAAGGAACATTGAAATGCTTTGTTTGATTGAGAATACTGGAAAGAATTATCGTTTCATGATGTTCAAATTCATCCTTGATGGAAGTGACCGTAAAAGGTGACCTGCTCTACCAGGCTTCGCGTGTTGTGAGCCTCGGAAAAAGAATTACACAGATATGAAGAACTCTCTGCTCACATCCCTCTTGAGTTAGAGAGGGGAAAAAATAAAACAGTGATGCAAACCATATTGATCCATATTTTATGTAAGGGTCCTCAAGTTCCACTTCGTGCGTGACACTTGTGGGAAACTGTGACCAGCTAATACTGGAGAGTTTGAAGGGCAGGGGATGTTTGTGCCATTTCTTCTCTCACTCTCGTATGTACGAACATGTTTGTGGAGGAGTAGTTGGGGGGTAGTCACACACTTGCATGCATGTGAGTAAATGCATACACTTACCTGCCAGTGAGCTTGCGGACATGCAAGATTAATAACATATCATGGTGACAAGCCATCAGTCCTAGTGCCTGTAAGTCCTCTTGTACATAATGTGTCACACAAATCATAAATCATGTCCAGCTCTCTCAGATCTTACACACTAGTTGCCACCTCAAGTTGACTTTCTGCTAGTTGCACCGCCCTCGTAGGTGGCTGCGTAAGGCGAGTTTGGAAATTGGTGTGCAGCAGCTTCCGGACCAGCTGCTTGTGTTAAAAATTCTGCGGGGCACAGATCTTCATCCTACACATGCCCCTATAGAATAAGGGGTGGATATTGTCCTGGTTTTGGCAGGGATAGAGTTAATTTCTTTTCTAGTAGCTGGTACAGTGTTTTGGATTTAGGATGAGAACAAAGTTGATAACGCAGAGAGAGCACTTACAAATGTCTTGACGTAATGTTCAAATGTTGCCTGGGTTCAAGTTCACCCTTGGTGGAGTTGGTCACCTGGAAGGAAGGGTGACTGGCTCTACCAGGCTTTGCTTGCTGTGGTCTGAGAAACGGCAATACCAGGGGTGCAGAGACATCCCTGCTCACACCTCACTCATGTTAGAGATGGGGGGAATAAAATGTGAGGCAAACTGAAATCAAACCAGTTTGAGTCTGGTGCATCTCCAAGGTTTTTGAATGTTGTTGACGTATTGGTGACTGTTTTAAATGTTTAAATGTAACTGTCATTTGTCTGCTGTAGGCCTGAAACCTTTGAAATCTGTGGTTGTTTTAGCATGATTGCATTGATTTTTCTTCATCTTAAGTGCGGTACTTTTCACAGCTATCATTCAGGATTGTTGCTTTCTCATTTATTCTTCCTTTTCCCTTAGAGCAAAAGTTGTGTAAATCCTCTGCACTGTTGAGTGTCTGTTGAAATGGAGCAGGCAGCGTGTGGCACATCAGGGATCTGGCCCCTAATAACTCTCTTTTCACTTTGGAGAGAGATCAAAACGCTGAGGATTGTACAATATATAAATAGAAAAGGTAGCTAGTGTGAAAAGAAGAAAAAAGTGCTCACTAGGTATTGATAACGTCAGATATTTGTAAGATATTTAGAGTACTTCAGATAAGCAACATGCAGTGGTAGTTCCCAGAGTAAAAGAAAACCCCAAACACTCAACCACCACAAAACCAAACCAAGCAACAGAGCAACAGTTTAATCACATGTGCTGGCATGGAGTAATGAATGGAGTGAGAATAATGTAGTCACAGATCACTCCAGATCTAAGCTTTATTTCTGTAATTGTTAGATATGTTCCCTGTGTACTTTATAAGCATGCTAAAAATCACTTTGGCTGATAAAAGTATCATATACTCAGTGCTCAACATGGCTCTGCAGAGAGTGACTGCATACAGAAATCAGAAAAGATGATAATGAAGTTCCACTTGTTTTGTTAGATGTTTCAGGTGACCAGCAGCTGCTTTTTTCAGTACCTTACTGCAGCAAACAGGAATTACGGAGATAACGAGGATGATATTTCAGATTTCTGTGGTGATAATTGAACCCTAATTCTATTCATATAGGCAGTTTGCTGCTTCTGACAACCACAGAAATCTGTCCTACCCTTTCCTGCATGTGTTTAATGTCAAAAAAATGGAGAATGATGATATGATCTGTCACTCAGACCTGCCAGAACAAGAAACAGAGCACAAGATGAGAAGAGTGTGTAAAGCTCTGGGAATAGGGCAGAACAGTGAAAATGCAGCTGCATTTTGTCCCACTGAAAATTATTGTTCTACTGTTAATGCACTATGAATCTAAAATAACAAATTCAATAGTTGAATTCTGAAGACCGCCTTCTTCAGTGACTTTGAAGCAACAATTAAGGAAGTGATCTTCCTAAGTATTCTCATAAAATGATTTTTTTTGGTGAGCTCTTTTCATCCCACCATTGTGACAATGGATTTTTCATCAGTACTATGACAATTTTTTAGGTCTAAGGAAATTAAAGCCTTCCGTTAAGCATAGCTTGGTATGTGTAGGTGAACCCTCTTATAAAGTTTGTGCTCTTGTAATAGATGTGATATGTCAGATAGCATCTCGGAATAAGACAATTTCACAACCTAACTCCTCTCCCTAGAAAATATTTTGAGATGAAGTTGTTGATAGGTTATTCACCGGTGGCATAACTGGCGGTCACACTACACATTCTTTCTCAGTGAGAGCCCTGATTCTGGCAGGAGAAATTGGGATTTGTAGTTGTTGTGTCAGGTCCATACCAAAAAAAAAAAAAAAAAAAAAAAGACAGCAAGCTCAAAAGAAAGAAAACTATTCCAGTGCATTTTTGCTGGTCTGTCATGTCAGATGTCAGCAACTGTGCCTTGAGGACTTAACTCCTTGACAGTGGAGGTTTCACTGCATCCTTAGGTAGAGTGCTGGGCAGTTTTGCTTGAGGGGCATGGGACCCACGGTGCATTCGGGACAGCTGAAGTTTGCACATTAGAGTCAGTAAGGGAGCAATCAAATGACCCTGGCACTCAGCTACCCACCATGCTCTGCAGCAGCCAGCCAACTATTTCTGTCCTCCAGGGGGGCCCTGACGCGACCTTCCTTCCCTTCTCTGCATGCGGTGGTCTCCCTGTGCCCCAAGTTTAAGAGTAGCATCGTGTATCCTCACTCATACCAGAAATCATCATTGCATGAGTTGTAAAAGGTTATTTGATTGGTAGATGGTGCTTGACTTTCCATGTAAAAAGAACAAGTACCTAAGTTTATGCTTTGAGGGCCGTGCTATAGATAGATAAATAATTTCTTCTTCACATGATTAAAAAGATTGCAAAAGGAGCTGAGTGCAATGAATGCTCGCAGTGGAAACACACCTTTAATTCTGTTTTCTTAAATAGGCTTGAAGAAAAACTTCTTAAATCGCCCCCAATCTTTTTTTTCCCCTCAGAGCATACTCATTTCATGTAAGTGCAGATGGTCAGATGCAGCCGGTTCCTTTCCCTCCTGATGCCCTCATCGGTCCAGGAATCCCTCGCCATGCCCGTCAGATCAACACTCTGAACCACGGGGAAGTTGTGTGTGCAGTTACCATCAGCAACCCCACGAGACACGTGTACACGGGTGGGAAGGGGTGCGTCAAAGTCTGGGACATCAGCCAGCCTGGCAACAAGAGCCCTGTCTCTCAGCTGGACTGCCTGGTAGGTGAACAGTGGTGTATGACAGTGGAAGAAGATAGCAGGTTGTGTTAAGATTGAAATGATACCATTAAGGTACAAAAAACAGTGGCTATTTGAGTGTTGTCACTGGTATCAAAGCTTGATATTTCATTTGTAATTTTGTTGTATCTTTTAGAACTGAGTTTGAAGTATGTTCCCTGTCGTACTTGTGGTTTTTTCCCCCCAATGAATCAAAACATCTTTAATATCCTAAAATTGTATTGGTAGGGGGAAAGATCAAAGACAGCACAGCAAATACTGTTTATAAACTTTGACATTTGTTGGCAATCTTAAAGCTTGATATCCTATCATACTAAAAATTGCTGTCTTGCAGCTGTATTCTCTGAGAATATTTGAAGATTGTGTCATGTATTTTATGTCTGTGTATATGTGTGAATGCATTGCCCTGTCTTAATGTGACAATTAAAAATATCCCTGAGTGTTATTCACAAATTATTTGAATGTGCTAACAAGATGAACCATTGTTAGCAGGTTTTCTCATGTCATTTACCTGTTCTTGGTAAGATGTTGCTTCTTGTTACAGAGGCAGTAAAATGAGAACTGTGCAGCACATGTAGACATATAATGAATTGCTACAGAAGTTGCTACACAAATGAAGAAAACTGCCCAAATATTTTCCTCTGACATCTCCTAGATGGTGGCAGCAAGTCTCACTGGAACAGAGCTGGGGGGAGTGTGCAGGGAATTTGGTACTCCCCCATGCCGAGAGGTTAATGTGCTGAAATAAACACAATATGAAAATGTAACTTTCTACACAAGCTGTCGAATATAGCTGTCTTGAATTGTTTTGGGCTGGGTTCAGGTCTTTGCGTTTTGATGCTAATTAAGATTAAATATCTCTCACTACTGAATTTTGTAGATCAAGTTTAAGTACTTCCCTAATGTCATGTAATTTTCTGGCATTAATACACTTTATCATTGTCATAAGTATAAATGGCTCATTAAAACCAGGAGGGAATACAATACTTTTATGGATTTCTGCTCTCATGTTAATGCTGTTTTCCTTTCCTCATGAGTAATCTCTTGATGGCTTCTGTCTCCACAGAACAGAGATAACTACATCCGTTCCTGCAGATTGCTCCCCGACGGCCGCACCCTGATTGTTGGTGGGGAAGCCAGCACATTATCCATTTGGGACCTGGCAGCTCCAACTCCTCGCATCAAAGCAGAGCTGACATCTTCTGCTCCAGCTTGCTATGCCCTAGCTATCAGCCCCGATTCCAAGGTCTGCTTCTCTTGCTGTAGTGATGGGAACATTGCAGTGTGGGATCTGCATAACCAAACTTTAGTAAGGTAGGTCGATGGAACTGGATCATCAGTTTGTGAAGAATTAATTAGACACGGCCTTACATGCTCTTCTGCCTACATATGCTATTTTCTCCATGGTGTCTGCATAGCTGCTTCTGGTATTTCATTGCTAGGCAATAGCCATGGTAATACCTTGACAAAAGTCTATATAATTGTTTATAGGTTTTGAGAGTTTCATAATTCCAGGCCTGTTGAGCAGCTCGTAACTATAATTTCCTAAGATCAGCTGGTGTTGACACTGCTGTAGGTTCTTCGAACAGATGTTTTTCTTTGTTTCCATGCAATACACTGTGCTCACACTCCAGTCTCTTTAATGAGTGCTCCAGCAAATATGTCTTGGGTAAAGATGTGTGTAAATTACTGCATTGCAAACTTAGCGTCTTAGGAGCATGGGTTGCTGCTCAACAGCGAGCTAGGAACCAGTCATACAGAGGTTCTCTGTGCACTGCACTGTGTGTATGTTGTTACATGTAATATATCAGTACTGCATGTAAAGGTAGGCTTCTACTCCCTGATTTAGTCCCATTTAGACTGCTCTTTTTTTTCCAGGTTTGCTGGTGACCTGGAGAGTCTTCTTAAACTAAGTGAATTTTGACGATCATGCCACTTTTCTTTGGGGGGAGTGGGGTATTTTCAGTCAAAGAGTGGGTATCACACAGTCAGCCGCAAAGATCCCGAGTATCTGTCTCATAAAGTGTGCTTTTTGAAATTAAATTAGTGCTTGGCTGTCTGGCCTGGTTGCTTCATCAATTCATCACAAAACTCACGTGGTTGTCCCAGAGTTTATATTAATCTCAGATTGCTATTGGAATCTACGTTACTGTTGTCTTTAATGGCTGCATGTCAGGGACTGAAAGAAAAAGGAGGTATTTTGTATACATGCTCAGAACCGACTCTTTCCAGTGTGAGAACATGCATATCTTCTTTCAATATTTTTAGGCAATTCCAGGGCCACACGGATGGAGCGAGCTGTATTGACATTTCTAATGATGGCACCAAACTATGGACGGGAGGCTTGGACAATACAGTCAGGTCCTGGGATCTCAGAGAAGGGAGACAGCTACAGCAACATGACTTCACATCACAGGTTCAATCTCAGAAACTTTGGCATGTTAAGAAAAATCCGTCATGGTTTTCTAAAACAAGTGCTTTTGGTTTGGGGTTTTTTTTTTTTTTAAAGCAAAGAAAGCAGGCTTAAAGCAAACTCCAAAGAATTTTTCAGTCAGTCTCACACTTTTTTTTTTTTTTTTTTTTTTTT